CAGCATAAATGCACTGCAAATGCTTATGCACACATTTATATTACCAAATTCACCATGTGAGACGAAATCAAGATCACCAATAGTTTAAACATGCAGAGTAAGCTTGAATAGCTGGGTGTTCACGCTCTGAAAACAATGCATGTAAGAAGCAGATGTTTGGAGGTACTTTTAAATCTCAAAGCATCAGTAGCAGCCTCTGGTGGTGCTGAGTTTAATGTTTTCTGTTGGTTTCAGTAGACTCTTAGTCAGTTCCCTAAAACAAATGTTGGTTTCTAAACCTGGCATGTCTAGGTGTAAAAAAACCCCTTATTTTTATTGGAAAGAAAGGAGTAACTTTTATAGATGGCTTACATTTTTCAATTTTCAAAATTTCTTTGTTGTTATTTTGCTATAGTTTATACACGGGGTTTTTTGTGTTCAGAAGATGTTGCAAGCTCTTTTTCTGTAAAGGCTTCCTTGCTAATGATTTTTCAGGTTACTCAGACTTTCTATCTGCTGATGAAACTACTGTTTCAAGGCTTGTTTTCATCTTACAGTGGTCATCACCTCCAGAAGCCATTGAACGCTTTAAGTCTCAAGAAATATGGTTTCCTCCGCCGCAGTTCTATGAATTTTGTAGGCTCTGCAACTTCTCTTCCCTCAGTGAGTTACACAAGTTCAGCTCTGAGCGAGCTCTGGAGGGCTGTGAGCACTGGATGCCGGTCATGCTGACTGCTTCTGATGGCTCCATCCATCTGCTGCCAGGTAAGGGAACACCTGGAGGTTCTCTTAAATATACAGCATCTCAAGCCACATGACATGAACCATCTGTAAGGAAAACACTCTTTTAAGTTGCGTTTGTACCGTGTGGTTCCTTGTTTGCTCCAGTTCTGACAGTGGCTGCTGTCAGAGATGAGCCAGGGGGTCACAGACAGCACACTTGTTCCTTACTTATAATGTCATCGTCTCACCATTGTCATAATGTTTATTTATGAAGAAACTCGAGCATTTTGGCTTTTTTTTAATCTGAAGGATGTATTTAGAACTCCTCCTGTTTAGTCCTTTTCAGTGGGAATTCTCGTTTACTTCAGTTATCCGTTTGTCTTTGTAAGGACAAGGGACTCGAGCACAGCTGCATTATCAGTCCTCACAACTGCAGTGACAGGGCACTGCACTAAAACAAGACATTAAGTCACCTTCCTCCTGCCCTCTCTCCTACTTAAGTCTCTCTCATTTCATAATCATGTACAAGCAGCATTAAGAAAAGCTGCACGTACTTTTTATTATTTTCTGCTTTTTCTGATTGCTTTTCATTAGGCTTTCTCTTTTTTTTTTGTTACAACAGACCTCTAGGATTTCCGTATTTGGGGTCTGTTAGGAGTCTTGCACAAAAGTAGTTTGCCTTGATATGGCAAAACACTGTTTTCATCAACGAAACAAAGCTTCTGTTCTTAGTACACTTGAAAAAGCATTTGTCCTGTTCTCCACCTGTTATATAAACTCCTATCTCCCCAGGCTGCAATTATAGGATATTAAAACTATCAGGAGCTCTGGAACATTTAAGTCAACACCTCAAATGTGCACTGCAGTTTCACTGATAGATGCTTCTGGAAATTTATGGCTCTATTTTTAAATCCGAAGATGTTTAGAGGCAATTTACTTTTGCATTGCAAAATACATTTCCAGTGAGTTTCATGTCCTGATAAATATTAAAAATTGCCAGTGTCACTCAGTGAAAAAGCTGAAAAATAAAGTTGGCCATCTATAACTAAAACTTTTTTTTTCCACCCCCAGGAGATGAGTTATATCCAGAAGATCCAGATTATACAGGAGAAAAAAAAACAATTATGTCAACAGATAAGAAGATTGAAGAGCTCATGAAAGAGGGCAGTATATTTCACAGGATAGTAATAAAAACCATCCACAGTTATGCTGTCTATGTTAATATTCAAGCAAAATATAAGCATATCAATCCACTGATGATAAACTGTGATAGTTCAGATTACAACAGCAAATTGTAGTGTGTGTTTGGTTTAAATCTTGAACAATACATATTCAGTGTGGGTTTGGTGCTTTCTGACTGTTGCCAAGTAGTCAGGAAAACATTTCTCTGTCCTGCCAAAGCATTTTGTCTGTGTGTGTGTTTGTGTTGTCTGATTTATGTGTACCTAATTCTCTGAGTCTTTGAAACAGTTGTGCCACTGATAAGTCACAAAGGTCCTTTTCTCACTGAAAATTTTAAGTATATATTTTGTTCAGAACAAGCATGTTTTGAGTTGAAGAATTCTTTTACTATGCTTCCCAAGGTTACCTATTAGATAAGTGCAATGTGTGTCTACAAATGAATGAAATCTCTCATTTCATATTTGTTGACATCTCCCAGTCTAGTCTCTCTTTCATTTTTGGGAAAAGCAGTGTGTGTATGTATATATAGAGAGATTTATTAGCTAAAATATAATTTTTAAAAGAATATTATAAAGTCCATTTTTATATTTGATACACCTAAATTCTTTTTACTAGTGGTAATTATACAAAACTTTACAATTTCCAAAGGTAGAGATAATTTAAACAAAGTCCTCTATCAGATCAAGTGCATTATTTTTATTGTTATATTTTTTTATCTTCAAGTTGCTAGCAATTTAAAAAAAATAGAAAAAATTAATTTTTTAGCTCCAAAAAGATACCCACAACTTAAGGGAATAATGTTCCTCCTTGGAAACACTCACTTCCATATTCCAGCATCCCACATTTTGCTTCTTAACTACTTTACTAAATATATTTGAGATTTAAGAACTTCAGAGGAAAGACTGCTGCTTAATGTTTTGGTTCAGATTTTTGATTTGTTGGATTTATCTTTTTTTTCATGCAATAAGTGGAGTCAGTGGAGCAGTGATGCAAATTCTTTATCTGGAAGAAGAACGAGTGATGACTTGAGATTAGTCAATAAAGTTGTTCAGAAAGCTTTGTTCCAGCTTTTTGTTCTGTGTTTCAATTAAAACTTGCTGCAACATCTTCATTAAATCGGTTTGTAGTATTCATTTGGATTGGGAAAAAAAGTGTGTCTTCTGTCTCAGAACATGCCCAGATTGTTGTTCATTTTGCAGACCTCGTTGAGGTTTGTGAACCTCTGCTGAACACGGACCATGGGAAGCAGAGCACTGTGTATAATGTATATTATGCAGTACAATATCTCCCTCCAAATATTCTGGCCAGGTGGGATATTCCCTGTTCTCCAGTCACTGCCATGACTGTTCGAATACAGTGGGGAGGGAGTGCTTTGGGACCCAGGCTTGCCATTTTCCTCGGAATCCTGGGATGCATCTCATCATGTTCCAAGGACTTGTCTATGTTCAGGTTTCTCAGATGGTTTTGAACTTGGTCTTCTCCGACTAGGGAAGGTACTTTTTTCACCCCCCTGAGGTTCTGGGACTTGAGAGATGTGGGAAGAGTGACTGCCACAGAAAGTGAGGGGAAAAAAATTGTCAAATGTAAAAGAAACCCCGTGAGCCTTTTCCATGTGGGTTACCACTGGATCTCCTGTCTGATGGATTGGGAGTGAGGGGTGTACATTTGCTTAAGTCCTCCTTTTGTAATCAACACACCTCTAGGAGCTATTACTATTATTATTCACATCCCTTGCCACATTCAGCTCCAGCTGTGCCTTAGCTCTCCTGATCCCATTCCTAAACACCCAAGCACCATCCCTATATTCTCCCTTATGGATACATATTCCTGCTTCCAGTGCTACAGCTGGTCTTTTTTTTTTGTTTTCTTTTTTTCCTGTTGTCCCTGCATTAGTTAAAAGAACTACCAGCATTTTCAAAGAATTACCATTATCTCACAAGTGTCTCCGCTACAAAGGAGACTTTGAGTCTCAAATAATTCCCAAACTCCAAAAATTTATTAATTTCCCACAGGTTCCAGTAGAACTTTCTTTTTCAAGTTGTTTGCCACAACGAAGGCTTTTATGCGTTATCAAAAGGATTTCGTTTTCCAATTTGTATACATCGAAAAGCCGAAAGCTGGACCTCCACCTGCTCTGTGGGGTGGAGCTGCGAGCGTTCCTGCAGCATCTCCAGGGCGTCCTGTCTCACTCCCGCCAAGTGCCATCTTCCCCTCCAAAGCCTTTAAGGAGCCGGGAATGCGCCATTTGGGAGCTCAGAGCCCGCCCTCCCGCGGGGGTGGCTCTGGAGGCGGGAGGCTCCGGAGGGAAGAGGTTTCTGGAAGGTTCCTATGGAAGGTTCCCTTCGGAGCGGCGGGAGCGCCGGCGGGGCGGTGCGTGCGAGCCTGGGCACAGGGGGGAGCGGGATCGTTCTCGGGGAAAACCACGGAACTAGGGCAGGATAGGGTGGACAGGGGGGGTCGGGGCGGGGGGAGAGGGAATAAAGAGGAAAAGCTCGGGTTTTAGCAGTCACATGTTCCCCTCTCCTCGTGTTTGTGCCTCCCGGTGAGCGGTGTTCAGACGGAGCAGAGGGGTAGCGGGTGGTTTGGGTTTTCCAGGAGGGTCTGCGAGGACCGGGATTGCCGGAGAGGCTCCTTCTGCCTCTCGGGGGGTGGTGTCACGGCAGCGGGTTGGGACGAGGCATTTTTACGAGGTGACTGCTGTCCGCGGTGGGTGGGGGGGTTTGAGTAAAATAGTTGTGTTCTTGCTCAGTTCTTACCAAAGCGGGAATGTTACTGGGAGCGTGTTGGGAGCGCTCGCCTTTTCTGTGTGTGTGCTTCGTCCCCGATACTTTGTTGGGGCGTTTTCTGTGTTTCCACTAATCCACCTGAGACATTAGCTGAGGTTATTTATGCCCCTCGCATGTTATTGCTGAAAAAAAAAAAGGCGTCTATTTTAAATGTCTTAGGGCAGCACAATGTATCTCACTGTCGGAGTGTGTGATAGCGCAGTGCTGAGACACCTCTGTGAGACTCAGGAGCTTGCCTTGTGTCGAACGACCTTAGGTAAAGCCTCCCAAAGAGTTTGGGCTGTTCCATTGTCATGTTAAACTGGGAATAATTAGTGCTCAGTCTTAGCAGAGCTTGTTGCTCGCTGTGACCGCAGGGCAGCTGTGTGGCTGCTTGCTTAGTGTGACTTGTTCAGCAATAGCTTTGGAAGTGGAAGGCCGATGTCTTGATCTTCCTTCTTGAAACATTTTATTAGGTACTTATTTCCAGGGGGAATTAGGTCGTAAGGTAGACACTGCGGGGATGATACCACGGAATGCTGGTTTGTGCCAAAATGAAACGCAAGTTACTTCAGTCTGCAGGTAGTTTAATTATTCCATTGTAATCCCTAGGTTTGGGACTCCTCTTTTGTGTTAGGGTGTGGGTTGTTTTTTTTTCTTTAAACACGTAAATATTTCCCTCTGGTGTCCATTTGGTCATGTAGGTAGCTTGTAGCAGCCCTTGTCTGCAATCAGCCTATGTCTGTTGGGCTTTGAATGGAAGAGATGGCAAATCTTAATTGTACTTTAGCATAGCACCTCATTAAGAAGGCTGGTTGAACCCTTTGAAATATGTTAACAGGTTGCCTAGATTAATACTCCTGACATAGGTAGTAAAAATCCATAGATGCTTTTAGGTGTCTGCTCTTTAGATACACTTCCAAACAAATGGTGGCTCTAAAAGTTGTTAATCGAATGTTTGCCGTTCTTTTACAGAAGTGATGAATGTGCCACACGGGACAAACGTGGATGTTGTGGTATTAAAGGTATGTTGGTGTTTTTAAAGCGTGGAGGACTGATGTTTATTTCCATGTGACTTTCTGGAGGTGAGATTTACAAACAAGGTGCTTGTGTATGTCCATTCACCAGTACTCCTTGTATGGGGTCAAATATGGGTTATAAACGTTTTGTCATTTCTTTTAGGTTTTGTTTTCCTCACAAAATAGCTGTGTGCATATCATTTACCACCATGCCATGATCTACCCTGTGCTTTTCATGATTTCTGAGCTTTGATCTCTCCCCCTAAACAGGGAGCTCAACATATCTCTGACAGTGCCTCCAAGTCTCCCCAAACACCTACGTTGTCTCTACACAGAAATTGTACTTCTCAAAACAGAGGATAAACAGCAGTAGGCATAATATATGGGGTTTCCCACACTGTTATTCTTCAGGCCTTGGTATTCCCAGCTGCAAGGTCACCTGAGCAAACTTACCATCCTCCTCACCATTCTTCCACTTTTTAACCTTTCTTTCCAAAATAAGGAATACAGCTAAAATCTAAGATAGTTGTGCAACACAGTCTTAAATAGTATGTACTGTAGTCTAGATTATACTGAATTTCACAGGAGGTTGTGGAAAACACAGAATACAGCCAGGACAGCTGACCCCAGGGATATTTCCTGCCACAGGATGTCGTGCTCAGCAATAAAAGCTGCAGGGAAGGAGGAGGGAAGGGGGATGTCTGTGGTCATCAAATTTGCAAGTCCCAAGTCAGCACTGTGAGTGATGAAGCCCTGTTTTCCTGGAAATGGCCAAGCAACTGATTGCCCATGGGAAACAGTGAACACAGTCCTTATTTTGCTTTGCTTGTACGTGCAGCTCTTGCTTTGCCGTGTCAGCTGTTACTATATCAACCTGTGAGTTTTTCACTTTTATCCTCTTAATTGGCTGCTCATCCTGCCACAGGGATGGGAGGGAGGGAGCAGCTGTGTGGGGTTTAGTTGTCTGCTGAGATTAACCCACAACAACTGTGGACCCAGATCAGCTGGAACACTGGACTATGAGGGTTTACAAAGGCTGGGCAGGAAGCTGTCACCCCACTTTAAAGAAACTGGCCATCATGCAGACTCTGAGTACGAAAAAGTGCCTGTTGGTGGGGTTTATCACATATTTTGAGGTTTTTATATGAACTCTTGAAGACTTCATAAGGAAGTAAAAAGCTTTGTCTTTGCACTTTGCCCAGTGTTTGGTTTAACCAGCTTTTAGAAAGTGCTACTCTCTTGCAGACTTCATGTGGCATTTGTTGCAGTGCTAAAGAAACTTGGAAGCTGAGAATTAATCTCATGAACTAACGGTGTGAAAGATGGTTTGCTTGGTAACATTCTGTATGCTCAGTATCAGTCACCATGATTTTGAAGGTGCCTCACAGTAGATGAAGTTTTGTTTGTACATTTGCTGCTCAGATGTTCTTAAAAAGCATCTTATCATTTTAGCAGGAGTTAATAGTACTTGTTCTCTACCCCTTGCCCCAGATTGAAGATCCAAGTTGCTTTTGGCTTGCTGTGAAAGAATGTGTACCAGGCCAAATCTATGAAGTGGCATACAACAACCTGAATGCTCAAATGACTGAGTTCTATGACAAACATAAAGATGTGAAGAAATTAAAACCAGAGGCGATAGAAGGCGACCAGGTAAAGTCATTGCTGTATCATGTACATAGAAATAGTCTGTTCTTTGCATTGGTTTGAGGTGAAGTGACAGATGCTTGCTTTTTTGGGGGGTTTGTATAGCTATGTAGAAAAGTAGATAATGGGATCTCTGTGGGTTTTGTGTTCTCATTCTCATCTGTAAGCTTCATAACTGCACACGCTGCAGTGCTTGCATTTTACGAAGAAAATGTAGGGCTGTGTAATAAATGTTCTTGCCTCTGAAAGACCTCTGAGTGTAATTCAGGCCATTTGCAGGAATCTGTTGTCTTCTTTCTTCCTCAGGTTTATGTGGTTTTCAGTGAGGAGCTCAAGTGCTGGTGCAGGGCAGTCTTTCAGTCAGCCCAGGGCCACGCGGTTCGTGACCAGCTCAGATGTTTCCTTGTGGATTATGCCAAATACAGTTTGGTTGAATCAGACAAGTATGTGTCAGAGTTTTTTATCCCTGTAAGATACTTGTTAGTTAATGGATACAGATGCTATTAACACTTACTCAGGTTCAGGGTGACAAGGCTTTGAATTGAGGTGTGGGTTGGGTCCTCAGGAGCTGCTAGCTGGGTGATAGGCTCTTGCAAGTGTGGGTGCAAACCAGTCCTTATTTTGTGAACTTTTAAAGAAGCTTTCCATCTTAGGCTTTGTTTTTTTAAAGATTCAAAATAGAA